CAGAAGCCAGCGCCGGGGCTGTCACGACACGGGTTTGCCGCAGGCAGTGCATCGCACGGGGGGGGGAGGTGAGCAAGCGAGGTACTACCGCTCGGACAGCAACAGCGACGCCGTCATGTACATATACCCGAAGCGGGCGCAGAATTTCCTCATCGTCACCACGGACCTGGAGGAGAACCAGTACGACGACACCAACACGGTGCTGGTGTACGCCCTGATCAGCAGGCAGGAGAGGGAGGCGTTCGAGCGCGAGGGGGTGCTCCCGCAGAGGAAGGTGGCCTGGACCGTCCTCGCCATCGACAAGGGGAAGGGGCACGCCGCGACGCTGACGATCGACGTGCTGGGAGCCGCGGGCGCAGGCGCGCAGAAGGCCCGTCGACGGCAAAACGGCGCTCCCAACTGGGAGCACGAGCAACGATATTGGCGCATGTCAGAGCCCGGAATCATCAGGGGTGAGTCGGGTCAGGGCTAACTCGGGTTCGATGTGCGGGAATTTCGCAGGCCTAGAGGTTAACACCAACACCAGGATCGGCGGTGTGCTTCCACCGAGGGAAGAAGATCCCGATCTCGGTGATGGTGGTAATATTCTGGCTTCCAAGGTGACCGAAATTTTACCACCAACACCGAAATCTAGGATCATCTTTCCCATGTGGAGGCAACCCCCTGTTCTGGTGTTGGTGCCAATTTCCAGGCCTCCAAGGGAATCCGAGCCCGAGTTACCCCGGGCCCGAGCTGCCCCCGAGAATTCGGGCGTCCAGAGCCCGGAATCATCAGGGGTGAGTCGGGTAAGGGCTAATGCGGGTTCGTTGATCGGGAATCCGAGCCCGAGTTCCCCCGGGCCCGAGCTGCCCCGGAGAACTCGGGCACCCAGAGCCCCGAATCATCAGGGGTGAGGAGGGGGAGGAGGAGGAGGAGGAGGAGGAGGAGGAGGAGGAGGAGGAGGAGGAGGAGGAGGAGGAGCGAGGAGGAGGAGGAGGAGGGGAGGGGGAGGAGGAGGCAGAGGAGGAGGAGGAGGAGGAGGAGGAGGAGGAGGAGGAGGAGGAGGAGGAGGCACCCGAGCATGGGCCTCGAGCCGCTGAGGCTGGGAGGTCACACGGTGCCGTGGCGCGCGCGCGCAGAAGCCGCGGGAGGCGAGGCCAGGCCATGGCCAGCGACGGACCGGCGGACATCGCGGAGGCGTCAGGGCACGAGGGCATTGGCTACTGGTTGGGCTCCGTGGGGCCCGTCCGTCCAGAATTAGGTCGGGCCTGTCCCTCTACAGGAGGTAAATAATCAGTTTTCCCAGTGCGACCCTACCTAGGAGTTGGAGCATTGAGGAAAGCAGCATCTACATCTACACCGACAGCTACAGTTACATCTACACCTGCGTCTACATCTACATCAACACCTACAGCGAGACTCACATCTACATCTGCATCTACACCTACATCTACACCTGTGGTATGCTATGCTGTGCTATGCTATGCTATGCTGCGCTGTGTTATGCTAAGCAATGCTATGCTATGCTATGCCATGCTATGTTATGCTGCGCTGCGCTATGTTATGCTATGCTATGCTATGTTATGCTGAGCTTTGGTATGCTATGCTCGGCTATGGTATGCTTTGCTATGCTGTGCTGTGCTAATGCTGTGCTGCACTATGCTGCGTTGTACTAAGCTAAGCTAAGGTAAGCTAAGCGATGCTAAGCTAAGCTAGGCTAAGCTAAGCTAAGCTAGGCTAAGCGAAGCTAAACTAAGCGAAGCTAAGATGAGCTAAGATAAGCTAAGCTTAGCTAGGCTAGGCTAGGCAAGGCTAGGCTAAGTTAAGCTAAGCTAAGCTAAGCTAAGCTAAGCTAAGCTAAGCTAAGATGAGATAAGCTAAGCGTAGCTAAGCTAAGCTGGGTGAACCCAGGGGGCGCAACTGGGGGAACCGCGGGGCGGATGCCGGGGGAACCGCCCGGGGCGTTTTCCACTGCCCGGCCCTTTAAGCTAACCGAGTAAGAACCCTTCTAGGCAGAGTCTAGGTAAGGAAAAATAATAGAAAAATCGTCTGGGGACGATTTTTGGAGCATCTTTTGACCATTTTGGCGTATTTGTTTGGCGTATTTTTAAATTGTCGTCGAAAATCCCCCGGTTTGGGGGGGACACGCCCGACTTGAGACTACTGATTGAGCTCCGTGGGGCCCGTCCGCCCAGAGCCCTCTCCTTCGGGGACGGCAGCGGGGGGGGTGATGACTACCCCGACCTTCCAGGAAGGTTCAAAAATAGCACGCGACTTAAAAACCCATCCCAGAGCTATTCTGCGTCTTGGTTTTAGGCTGTTTCGCTCCGTGTTGTTTAGTTTTGTTGGCTTCCAGTGCTAAAAAACAGCTCTCTGGAAGGTCAGGGGATATCTCCCCAGATTTCATGGCGCCCCTTCTGATTTCAAGACGTCCCCGGCGCCCCCTCCTGGGCCGCGCAGGTGCCGCTGGCCATGACTTGCACCCCCCCCTCATGGACGCCCCCCTCTTGGCCGCTCCCGAGCTCTCGCCCTCCCCTCGCGTGGCCTGGCCCCCCTCCCCGGCTCTGGCACCGGCGCTCGTCCGCGTGCGCTCTCCCAGCCCCGGAGGCTCTGCTTTTTGCTCCCTCGCCTGCACGGCCGAGCTCTGGCGCTCGGAGCCCTTGATTCTCGCCGTCGTCGTTCGTGGCTCGTCGTCCTCCCCCTCGGTCTCCTGCCCAGCTCGAAGTCGGGCCCGTCCCTCTACGGGAGGAAGATTCAAAGATAGTCACAAAATAGTCTGGGGACGATCTTCTTTAACTGTTTTGACTATGTTGGGGCATTACTTGACTATTTATTCCCAACCCTCCTTGGTTAGGTATTCGTTTTGACTAGAGCACTGCGGTCTCCAGTCCTCCTTCTCCTCCCGTCTCCCGCTCCTCTCTTGTCTCCTCTTGCCTCGCGCGAACCTGGCCATCCCTGGGGGCTGCGATCTGTGGCACTGTCGCCGCTTTCGAGGGCTGCTGGTGGGTCCTGCGGAGTGAGGCACCGCGGGGATCTGAGCGGGACCTCGCCGTCCCTGGGGGGCTGCGATCTGCGACACTGTCGCCACTTTCGATGGCTGCTGGCGGGTCCTGCGGAGTGACGCACCGCGGGGATCTGAGCGGTACCTCGCCGTCTCTGGGGGGCTGCGATCTGCGACACTGTCGCCACTTCCGAGGGCTGCTGGTGGGCACTGCGGAGTGAGGCACCGCGGGGATCTGAGCGGTACCTCGCCGTCCCTGGGGGGCTGCGATCTGCGACACTGTCGCCACTTTCGATGGCTGCTGGTGGGTCCTGCGGAGTGACGCACCGCGGGGATCTGAGCGGCACCTCGCCGTCCCTGTGGGGCTGCGATCTGCGACACTGTCGCCACTTTCGAGGGCTGCTGGTGGGTCCTGCGGAGTGAGGCACCGCAGGGATCTGAGCGGGACCTCGCCGTCCGTGGGGGGGCTCTGGATAGCTGCTGTAGGATACGTTAGGCGCAACGGGCGCATGGCACAGCCAACGGGGGTGATTTGTGAAACAGACCATCTGCCGGGCGATGGCCATAACGTTGCGCCTACACGTATCCCGCGGGGGCTCTCAAGAGCTGCTGTGGGATATGTTGGGTGCAACGGGCGCATGGCACAGCCAACGGGGGCGATTTGTCATGACGTAGCCCTTATGTCTTGATCGGGGGCCTGCGAGCCTTCCGACTGTTGCTCGCAAGATCACATGCGTCCATGTTACTCCAGATTTCGTAATAAAAGGGAGGGGGTCTGGACCCTCCAAGACAAGCCATTTCAGACCTCCCCCGTGGGAGAACCCTCCAAAATATCGTCCCCAGACCCCCCCAGGCCCTCCAAGATAGCCTGGAAGAGACCCCCCCCGAAATGAGACCCCCCTCCCTTTATTACGAAATCTGGAGTACGTCCTCGCCCCCGTTGAGTAGCAATCCTGATGCACTCATGCCCCGCCTGGCGCAAGGGCTGGGTACGTCGCCAGGGTCATGTTTCTCCTCGAAGATCCGCCTGTAGAGTAGGGGTCCTGAAGAAGGAGCCCTTTTCGTTGGGGAGGGGCTCGGTGTTCCTTGATTGGGCTGCAGTTTGCCTTCTGTTTTCCTTAGGTTTTCCATGGGAAATCGAAGTTCTACTTATGGGAGAAAGGGGCCCCGTTACTTATTTAGGGTTCCTTAGGTCAACGCCCCGACTGTAGGAGGACATGCCCGACCTACAGTGAGCGGCTTGAATAAGGAACACTTCCTTTTCAAAAGGGGCTCGGTCGTTCCTTGGGGTTTGCATGCGTTCTGCTACCTTTCTGGCGGCGAGTCCCCCTGGCGTTCCTTCGGACTTCGTAGACTCACTTGGAACAACAAGGGGCTTCGTTCCGTATTTATCGTTCCTTAGGTCAGGCCGATGACTGTAAGCACAGCCAGACCAGGGCAGGGGGCGAGGCGCGGCCGACCGCACTCCCGCCCCCACCGGCGGCAGAGCGCCGGCCGGTCGCGGCCACCAGGAGTTCCGCCACCCCGGGCAGCACCTTGTTGGGAACTGCTTCGCCGATCGGCGCGGGCCCCTTGCCCCTCCCCCCAGCCCCACCCCTCCATAGACCAGATTCAAGTCGGGCACGTCCCTCTACAGGAAACACTGAAAAAAATAGTCTGGGGACGATTTTTTAAAAATGATTGTTTGACTATTGTTTTGCATATTTTTTGAATTTTCTGATTCCCCAAACCGCTTGCTGAACGGGGTGCTGTTGTGATAGAAGCTCACTCTGGCCGAGGGAATTCAAAGCAGAGACGTCCTCAAAAAATGTGGTGGTCCGGGCCGTTTCGCCTGATACATCCTCGCAACTCTCGTTTCTGAGTTGTCCGGGATTGGGCGTTTCGCGTGAGACATCCTCCAAACTCTGAGTTCCCAGATGCCGCGCCTGAGACATGATCCAAACTCTGAGCTCCCAGATGCCGCGCGAGAGGTGGTCCGGCTTGTATCGCCTGAGACATCCTCCAAACTCTGAGCTCTGAGATGCCGCGCGAGAGGTGGTCCGGCCCGGTTCGCCTGAGACATCCTCGCAACTTTGAATTCTGAGATGCCGCGCAAGAGGTGGTGCAGCCCGTTTCGTTTGAGACATCCTCGGAACTCTGGGCTCCGAGATGCCGCGCAAAAGGTGGTCCGACCCGTTTCGCCTGAGACATCCTCGCAACTTTGCGCTCTCTGATGCCGCGCGAGAGGTGGTCCAGCCCGTTTCGCTTGAGACATCCTCCAAACTCTGAGCCCCGAGATGCCGCCCAAGAGGTGGTCCGGCCCGTTTCACTTGAGACATCCTCGCATTTTTGCATTCCGAGATGCCGCGCGAGAGGTGGTCCAGCCCGTTTCGTCTGAGACGCCCTCGAAACTCTGAGCTCTGAGATGCCGCGCGCGAGGTGATCTGGCCCGTTTCGCCTGAGACGTCCTCGAAACTCTGAGCTCTGAGCTGCCGCGCAAGAGGTGGTCCAGCCCATTTCGCCTGAGACATCCTCGCAACTCTGACCTCGGAGATGCCGCGCGCGCGACGTGGTCCAGCCGGTTACGCTGGAGACATCCTCGCAATTCTGGGCTCCGAGATGCCCTGCGCGAGATGGTCGGGCCCGTCTCGTCTGAGACATCCTCGCAACTCTGAGCTCTGAGATTCCGTGCGCAAGGTGGTCCGGCCCGTTTCGCACAAGACATTCTCGCAATTCTGAGCTCCCAGATGCCGCGCAAGAAGAGGTCCAGCCTGGGGGCCCAGAAGACCACATGTTACATATCCCCCATGGGACCCTGGGAGCCCCACTGGGCCAAGAGAGCTTTAGGAGGCCGCAGGACGTCCAGGACAGGCCCCGGGCGTCCCCAGGAGATTCCCAGGAGGCTCCCAGGAGGCCCCAGGAGGCCCCCTTTCAGAACGTGTCAAGTTAATACACATCGGGTGGGCCCGACGGCCACATGTTAGATATCCCCCCCTGGGAGCCCCAAGAGGCTTCAGGAAGCCCCAGGTGGGGTCCAGGAGGCCACAGGAGGCCCAGGGGAAGCCCCAGGAGGTCCCCAGGAGGCCCCAGGAGGAGGTCCCCAGGAGGCCCCAGGAGGAGGTCCCCAGGAGGCCCCAGGAGGAGGTCCCCAGGAGGCCCCAGGAGGCCCCAGGAGGCCCCCGCAACTCGGAGCTCTGAGACGCCGCGCTCGAGGTGGTCCAGCTCGTTTCGCCTGAGACTTCCTCGCAGCACATTTCGCCCGAGATATCCTCGCAACTCTGGGGTCCGAGATGCCGCGCGCGAGGTGGTCCAACCCGTTACGCTGGAGACATCCTCGCAACTCTGGGCTCCGAGATGCCGTTCGGGATAAAGAGGAGGTGGAGAAGGACAATCGACCTTGGAAACCGCAGTGGGTTTGGAAACCCTGTTTGCGGATACTGCACTCCGGCTTTCATTTTTCTTCCAAAATCCGCCTGTAGGGGGACATGTCCGACCAAAGACCAGATCTTGGCTGCTTCTGGCGGCTGCTTTCGGCGACTGGTCAGAACTGCCACCCCCAGCCTGCTTGCAGGACCGGCCAAAGCAGCTCGACTAAGCACCGGCCCAGGCTCAGAACACCCACCCCTCCTCCACCAATCGGCCACATGCTGAAACTCAGAAGGCAAAACAACGATGATTTACCGCGTGAGGTGTTTAATAACCCCACCTCAGTGATGGGAAACTGATTATTATTTCCTGGAGGCTACTTGAAGGAGTACGACACCCAACAGTATGCGGCAAATAAGTATATTCCACCGCCGCCGCCGCCGTCGCGGAGGAAGAAGAGAAGGGGAGGAGGAGGAGGAGGAGGAGGAGGAGGAGGAGGAGGAGGAGCAGGAGCAGGAGCAGGAGGAGCAGGAGGAGGGGGAGAAGGAGGAGAAGGACGGGGCGAACCAGGGGACGCGGGGAGCTGAGTGCCTGCCAAGAGCGGTGGGCCGCGGGGTCCGGCGCTAGAAACTCCTCGCGGTCGGGGCGGGGGGTCCGTCGGAGAGCGTCGGCGCGGATCGCGGGCAGTCGGAGAGGGCGCCACGCCAGGGCGCGGGCTCGCGGGGCGGGCCGGCCGCGGCCAGGCGGGCGGCCGCCGCACCAGGGATTGGCTTGCCGGCCTGGGGCTGCCGTATAGCTCCCCGCGGCGGGCCGAAGTCCCACCACACCAGGGCAAGGGGCCGGAGGCCTAGAGGTCGGCACCAGCACCAATATGGACGGCGTGCTCCCCCCGAGGGAGGAGGATCCCGATCTCGGCGATGGTGGTCAGATTCGGGTTTCTAGGCATTCCGAGTTTCTAGATAGGCGTCGGGGGGGGGCTTCACCCCCGCCGACAGCTCCACATCGACCCCCGTCGCGGGCTGCCACCGCGCGCCGAAGGCCCTCCGACCCCCGTCGCGGCGCGAAGACGAGGCGAGTTCCTCCCCCGTCGGGGGAGTAACCCCCCCACGCTTATTAAGAAACCCAGAATAGCCGACTGATGACCACCAGCACCAAAATCTTGGATCATTAGGATCATCCTCCCCCGGCGGGCGCACCCCCTTGTTTTGGTGTTGGTGCTTATTGTGAAGGCCTGACGGCCGGTGCCGCTGACCCTTAAAGACATCGACGACGACCAGGAGAGGGAGGAGGAGGAGAAGGAGGAGGAGGAGGAGGAGGCGGAGATAAGGAGGAGTAGGAGGAGGAGGAGGAGGAGGAGAAGGAGGAGGAAACGGACCCCCCCCCGGCGGACGCACCCCCCTGAGCGTCCAGAGGGGGGGCTGGTCGTGGGCCATCGTGGCTGCGTGGAGGCCCAGCAGTGCAGGCATTGTTTTTTTTTTGTGTGTGTGTGTGTGGATCGGCTACGGCCGCGGGCGCAAGTCCAGGCTGGCCCAAGGGGAGGCGAGTCGAAAAATGGCTCTTGCGCGGAAGAGACAATGATATCAATAAGCGTGGGGCAAGAGTGATACCGTCGGGGCCCTGAAGAAGGAACCCTCTTCGTTGGGGAGGGGCTCCGCGTTCCTTAAGTGTGTCGCAGCTTGCCTCAGGTGTTCCTTGGGTTTTCGATCGGAAATCGAAGTTTAACTCATGGGAAAAAGGGGCCTCGTTCCTTATTTTGGGTTCCTTAGGTCAACGCCCCGACTGTAAGTCTTGAGCGGCCCAAGATCGCCAGAGCCGCGTCTCCCGACAGCACACGGAGCACAGCAGGCAGCGGCGGCTGAAACGCCGGCTGGGGCCACTCTACCGAGGGGGGGGTGTAGAGTAGCAAGTCTCTCGCCCTCCTCCTCCTCCTCCTCCTTCTCCTCCTCCTCCTCCTCCTCCTCCTCCTCCTCCTCCTCCTCCGCCCCCGGGAGCGCTGTCCCCCCACACCGGAGCGAGGACTGGGAGGCCCTCCCTGTTCCATTTTGGGGGCTCCAGCCTCACGCGGCGCTAGCTCCCCACAAGAGAGCAGCCCCGTGTGCGACACCCTGCCGCTGTGCGCGGAGGTGCGCGGTTGTGCGCGCGTGCTCCCCACGGGTGCCTGTCGCGCGCTTTTCTTGCGGGGCGTGACCCCGTCCTCCTCCTCTTCCTCCTCCTCCTCCTCCTCCTCCTCCTCCTCCTCCTCCTGCTGCTTCTCCTCCTCCTCCTGCTCCTCCTCCTCCTCCTCCTCCTCCTCCTCCTCCTCCTCCTCCTCCTCGCCCCCTGCTCTCATCCTCCCGTCGCCTCCGCAGGCCGACCACGCGGTGACGCTGAGAGTGACGGTGGACCAGGGCGGCCAGCTCAAGGCCACCAGCCTCTGCCCCCGGGGGACGCGCTGGCTGCGGGGGGGAGCGCGCCGATGTCGGCCGCAGCCCCCTGGGGGGCCCCGATGGCCCCGAGCCACAGGGTGCCCCGCGCCTCCGCCCCTGCGAAGAAGCGCCGGCGTCGAGAAGCTATGCCTGCGGGCAGACGTCGAGTGGAATGCAGGTCAAGGCGTGGAAACTGGAGCACGCCGGGGCGTAGGATCTGAAATGGGGCGTTCCAAACAGGGCCTCGCCTTCGAGGATCGAAAGAGTTGTCATCTCTTCCGCGGCGGAAGGCGGCGGAAGTCGAACAAGGCCGCCTCCGCCGGCGGAAGCTCGGCGGAAGCCGGCGGAAGCAAAAGTCAACCTCCCAAGAGGTGACAAGATTTTTGGGTCCAGGGTTTCCGGAATGGGCCACATGATTGCCGCATGTTGTTTGGCCAACGATTCTGTCTACAATATAGTTATTCACACCAGAGTTTGAGTCGACGATGTCTTTGTTGAGATGTATCTGAAGGCGAAGGATGCCAAGGGCGCGAGGGGCAAAAAGGATGAGAAGGACGCGAGGTCTGAAAACAGAGCAAAGGATTCATGGCAAGATACTGTCGAGGGCGACTACGTGTCGATGAAGAAGACAGAGTTTGTGTTTGAGAAAAAAGGCCTTAAGAGGAAAGAGCAGGTGTACATCAAGGCTCTGGACGGACCAAGATGGTGGTGCATCGGCAACAAGCTTCGAGAGATGGACCCGTCGTGCTCGGTGAATCACGACTACGAGGTCCCACAGAGGGAGTACGACGTTCTTTCTCCTCATCGTCCTCCTCGTCCACATTCCCATCCCTTCCTTACTTCCCTCATCTTCGGGTCGGATGAAGGGGGAGGATCGGGAAACGAGGGGGAGGAAACGAGGGGAAACGAGGGGGAGGATCGGGAAACGAGGGGGAGGATCGGGAAACGAGGGGGAGGATCGGGAAACGAGGGGGAGGGGGAGGATCGGGAAACGAGGGGGAGGATCGGAAGTAAGGTAAGGAGGGTAGGAAAATTGCTGCATGCAGATGGTCCCGGCCCCGTCGCTGGGCGCGATCCTCGATGCGCGGGCGCCCCCGGGTGCCGGGAGGCATTGGGAAAGTGAGTTGATGCCCTAACGCCCCATTTCGTTACCTCCCCTTTTCGGCCGCCCTGATCCTCCACATCGCCTTCTTCCTCCTCGTCCCCATCCCTCCCTCAACCTCCACTTCGTCCTCACCCCCTCCTTTCCTTTCCTCCTCCTCATCATCATCCTCTTCTGCTCCTCCCCCCTCCTCCTCCTCCTCCTCCTCCTTCTCCTCCTCCTCCTCCACGAAGCGGGCCGCGCCGAGGTCACGGCAGCAGCATCCGCTGACCCACAGCGCCGTGCCCACGTGCAGCTTTCTATTGCCAGCACGCTTCGCAAGGCAAACTTTGCATCACCCTTCACCGTCACGCTCGCGAAGCGCCTTGCGTCCTGGGGCCTGCAGCTGTCGCCTCCCGAGGAGCTTTCTGCGCGATGGGAATCGTTGTCCAGGACCCTCCAGGGGCTCCGTCCGAGCTGGCGACGAGCCGTCTTCAAGACCCTCAGTGGAAGGTGGACTACTACCGTCAGGATGCACGTGTTGGCGCCGAGGACGTGCGTCTTCGGTTGCCCTCAGGCCGCGGGCGCGTTCCCCCACTGCCTCTCCTGTCCCGGCCTCCTGAGCATCCTCTGGTCCCCTGGCCCGCTTCTCCTCCGCTCGACCCTCACGTCTTGGGGCCCGGGCCCCGAGGCAGCCTGCGCCGCTGAACGCGACAGCGCCACGTCGCTGCATCGCACGTGCCAGCGCATCGCGCCAGCATTTCATGCTCATAACAAAATGAAGATACAGTCGGCGCCGACACCCGAGGGCTTAGCCTCGGCGAGTGCAGCTGCCCGCGCCCTCGTCTGGCGCTAGTGAAGACTCGCGTTCCTCAGGGTACCCGAACTCCTCCTCCTCTTCCTCCTCCTTCCTCCTCCTCCTCCTCCTCCTCCTCCTCCTCCTCATCCTCATCCTCATCCTCCTCAACGTCACTCCCCACCTGTCTCTCTCTCTCTCTCTCGCCTTCCCTCCCGCCCTCCTGAGGCTCCATCCCACCCCGACGTCGTGGCCCACAACTGGATAGATCCCGCCACGCTGTGTTAGCGCATCGCCGCCCGACAACTCCCCGTCCTTTCAGCATCCCCCGTGGGAGAGATCAGGAGGGAGGGCGTGGACGAGGAGGAAGAGGAGCCAGGAAGGACGAAGGAGGAGGGAGGGAGGAGGGGAAGAGGGAAAAGAGGAGAGGAGGGATCCGACACTCTGCTGCGCCAGGCCGTTCCCAGTCGTGGAGGGATGCTGCATTGCTGCTGATGCCGCTGGACCCCAGCTCCAGAGGAGGGAGGGGAGGAGGAGGAGGAGGAGGAGGAGGAGGAGGAGGAGGAGGAGGAGGAGGAGGCAGAGGAGGAGCAGGAGAAGGAGAAGGAGAAGGAGAAGGAGAAGGGACGAGCAGGAGGAGTAGGCGAGGGAGGGAGGGAGGCCCTCACTTCTTGAGGGGCTGGCCCTGGACACGGGCTCCATCTGGCGCGCAGCGAGGGGATAGCTCGGGGTGCCGGTCCTGCTCCGTGGGAGAATCCTGCCGCCGCGGAGACGAACAGCGCACCCTTTGAGCCTGGCCCTCCACGCCAGCCCACCCCGCAGGTCCTCAGAGCGGTCGGAGCTTCTGGGGGCAGGGTGCCAGAGGCCGAAGGCGAAGGAGGAGGAGGAGGAGGAGGAGGAGGAGGAGGAGGAGGAGGAGGAGGAGGAGGGAGGAGGGAGGAGGAGGGAGGAGGAGGCAGGAGTGTCCATCGCTTTCCCTCCCCGCCGTCCTCGTGGCAGCCCTGGCCCCTCCCCTCATACCGTCCTTCCGCGGCCGCCCCCCACCAGCGAGAGGAGGAGGAGGAGGAGGAGGAGGAGGAGGAGGAGGAGGAGGAGGAGGAGGAGGCGAACACGACTGGTGTCATGCGGGAGAGTTCTGCCAGGCTTCGCGGGCCGGATGTCGTGGCATGCTCGTTGCGCCGGACTTCGTTGGATCTTTTCTTGGTACCTCTTGTGGGCTATCCTGGAGCCTCCTGGCGGGGCACTCCGCGGCGGCGCGGATGTGATGCTCGGCGGAGGAGTTCCCTGGGCGCTGTTCGCATCTATACGCGTCTCGGCGGAACTCGGGGCCAGTCAGAGGCCGACGTGCTCGCCTTTGCAGGCCTTCTCACGGTCAGGAGCTGTGGCGTAGCGCGTCGCTCCGCCGAGTCCGACCCACCACGCGTCGGAGCGGCACGCTATCCACGTCCCAGTCCCCGAGCGTCAACGCCCCAGGCTCCTCCTCCTCCTCCTCCCTCCTCCTCCTCCTCCTCCCCCTCCTCCTCCTCCTCCTCCTCCTCCTCCTCCTCCTCCTCCTCCTCCTCCTCCTCCTCCTCCTCCCCCTCCTCCTCCTCCGGAGCGGAGCGACGCGCTGTCCGCTCGCAAGTCGTAGCGTGTCGCAGGGAGCCGCCGCCGCGACTCGCTGAGCGCAAGCCTTGGACCCCATCGCCTCGCTTCGGTCCCTCGGGCCCCCTTGCCTTGCGGTCGCTCCCTGCTTCGTGCTTCGGGCCCCCCAGTCGTCTCGGTCGTCTGCTCGATCGCGACCCGGCCTTCCTGCTGCCACCCGAGCTCGTGCGGCAGAGGTGGCGGGCGAAGTCTTCCGGGCGGCGTGCGGTCGGGGACTTGGGCTCAGCATGTGTCGCGCCGCCGGTTCTG